ATATTATCTTGCATTCATTACTCAGCTTTGTTTTATTTTCACAATATTCTACATGCACAATTATTCTTTATTATTATTAAGATATTATACATGCACAATTCTCCCTATTCTACATGCACAATTTTCATCTTTATTATTATTAAGAGAATATTTTTATATCCTTCATTAAATGTTTACATATATGCCGCTTACATTTTTAAGGTTTTTTGTGCAACGTTCTTTTTCGCTATCATATATTATTCAATTATTGTTATGATTTTGGATTTTGTGGGTTGCTCATTTTCCTACACTTTTGATTGGTTATCATATTTCGAAGGAGGTATCTATGACAGCATTAGAGTTTATTTAAGGCTATTGTTGTTTTGTTGATTAAAATTTTTTTTTTACTGAGGTATACTGCTTTCTGATTATCTTGGGCTTGTTTATGCTAATAATACCTATTTGGTTTTATTTCTTAAAATAAATTTATTAATATTTTAATGTTTCTATTAGAACTTTAATTTATTTTGTTTTCATGTTTTCTTTAGGTAGTATGGTAAATGTTTTATTTAGTTATTTTTATTTTTGTTTGTTCAGTAGATCTAAACTTTTTATATCATATCATTAAAAAAATATTGGTGCTTTACAAATTTGGGGTTGGTTGGGTTTTGGCTATTTGTATTGATTCCTTTTTTACTGCAGTATGGAAAAGGCGTAAGTCACGGGGTAAAGCATGACGTTTGTCTGACGGGATAAACTAGTTATAAATGCTGATCCTCATCGAAACACCAGTAATAATAGACGCAACTCTGAGGAGATGTTTATTACTTAATTACTACACAAATTATGTTTACACATTAGCATTAATGTTTTTTTTCATTCTTTCATTGTTGTTAGTATACTTTTTATTTTGTGATCGGTTTTTTGTTTTGCAAGTTTTTGTCTGGTGATGTATTTGTTGTATATCTTGGTTCATATTGGTGTTTATAAAACAATTTTTTTTTTTATTGTTATTATTGTTAAGTACTGTTTTGGGTGTAAAGTCTGTCTTATTTATTTTTAAATATTCATCTATTAATCTTCATTTTTGTCTTGACAACTGTCAAAATATACTTTGTTCAATAAATAATTCTCCTTTATTCTAATGTACTTCATTTCTTCCCTAAGGCGTTCACTACTCGTGTGTGACCATTCAGCAAATTTTATATGCCAAAGTTTTTAAATAAAGTTGTCATGAACATTAATTTTGATATTAACTATTTATTATATATTTCAGTATATAATAAATATATTTTGATATTTTGAATGAAATGTACAAAAGTGTCAGTTATTTTTGATATTTTGAATGAAATGTACAAAAGTGTCAGTTATTTTTGATATGTTGAATGAAATGTACGAAAGTGTCAGTTATTTTTGATATGTTAAATGAAATGCATGAAAGTGTCAGTTATTTTTGATATGTTAAATGAAATGTATGAAAGTGTCAGTTAGTTTTGGCAAAGTAACAAAAGCAGTTTAGTGTGAGATATTGCTATAGTAACAAACTATACTAAAATGATAAATAATAAGAATAAAAAAATAAATATAAATGAAATACAACTTCAAGATTTTATTAAAAAATCTTTACAGCTGAGTCATTGTATTTACCTAAAGATATATTTATTAAACGTCTCAAGAAAATTAGTTTTAATTCAATTTTATTCACTATTTTTTTAAAATTTAGTGGCTTGTAAATAGAAGTCACCAAAGAATAACAAAATATATAATTTTATAAACTTTGTTAATGATTTATCTAGGTAGCATATATCAATTAATTATTAGTCAAATGACTGACAAGGAAATGTTAAATAAGTAACCAAAGTCAAACACAAAAATTTAAAAGAGTCACAGTTTACTAGGTAATTATCTGGGAGCAACAGAAAAAGCTAAAGAGACATTTCAGAAGTTAATTTATTCAAAATTAGAGACTTGTCAGCACACAGGAAAAAACAAATTACTAACAGATAAAAACACTGTTCTTTAAAACAATACTTCTTTCAATGCCACTAACATGTTTTGTGGTGTTTCTTTCAACACCACAAAACATTTTTTTATAAGAGTAATTTGAGTTATTTGAGAATATTGTTATAAGTTTTATATTAAGCAACCTTATCTATTTAAATGTAATTATCAAAGTTAGAAATAATGCACATAAAAAAGTGGGAGCAAGACAAAAAAAAAAAAAATATTAAAAAACAAGTACTTTTTATAAAAATATTTATTAATAAAACTTTATTATATAATAATAATTTTTTTTTTTTTTCTTTCAACATTTTTACTTGCAACAAGGCTGCAAGCAACCACTATTAGAGTTTGAAGAGAAAAGTTGAGCAGGTCCAACTATGTTTACAATGCGTTTTTGCACCTTGTCTAAAAAAAAATGGGCATCATTGGAAGATCAGCCCCAGATATGACAACAGTACTCCAAACAAGAACGAACTTGAGATTTATAGAGATAAAGAATAGAATCTTGAGTAAGAAAGGGGCAAGCACTATAAAAAGATGCAACCTAGATACATTTAATATATAGTTTCCAAGAGGATTAGAAGTAAGTGTTAAACCTAGTTGACAAAAAATAAATGATTTATCAAGTACTTTACCATAGATAGATATCTAGAATATTGAAATACAATTAGCTGAAAAAAATTGAGTTTTATCTTAGTTAAAGTTCACCAGCCACTGAGACCCCATGCTGTAGCAGAAGTGACCCTAACCCTAACCCTGACCCTAACCCTAACCCTAACCCCCGAACACGATGCATCGAACAAAAATGTACCGGAACGATTAACGATGTGTTATATAACATAAAATGGTGTGTAGTTACTTAAATTAGTTATTTTTCGATTATATTCCTTTCGATGCCTTTACCTTTCACACGGGAAAAACTTTTTCTGATTAATAAAACATAAGACAATCTGTTAACTTTTTCCGAACTTAGGAACACCACATCACCCAACATATTACAATCTATCATTCATGAAAAGGAAGATACAATGACAGAGACACACACTAATCAACGTTTTTTTTTAATATTGCAATTATATTGTCCAATATTGCCAATGTCTTGCAATGGATTGGCAATATATTGGGTGAAAAATATCGCAATATTGACAGTTAAAATTGCAAGTAAAATTACTATCTTTGAAATTATGACAGCTTTTATAATCAATTTTTAGATATTTTACTCTTAATCTAGAGTAGTGAGTAGTATTCACAGTTAAAAATTCACTTATTAAATATAAATATGCTCTAACGAAAGTAAAACATATATGCAACAACTTAAGTAAACACTAACATGATAGAAGTAGTAAACGAAAGCAACATTGCTTTAATTTAACTTTTATTGTAGCAACCCTGACCCTAACCCTAACCCTAACAGATGCTGCTTTCTAGCAAGCTGGAAAACAAGACTCAGATAAGCACTTGTTAAATAAGTTTGAAAGTATATATGAAAGCTTCAGACAACACTTATGCAAGACTAAAACAGGTATGTTACCCGGACCACAAGCTGTAAAAGAGTCTAAGTGGAAAATTACTAGAGATACAGAAGCTGGAATGATACGAATGTCAAGTAATGGATCAACCTGTTTGTTGGCTATATCAGGAAGAACGCAACAGAACGGAATCAAGAGATGATATTGATAAGAAGTTCTTAGCAAACAATTCAGCTTTGTTTTTAGGTGAGATGAACCATACAAAATGGTGGAATAACAAATTTGCCTTAATATAGATACTGTTAAAGATTCTCCAGAAGTCACAAGAGCCTAATTTTAGAGATAATATACAAGATTTCATGACCTGAGAATAGCAGACTTTGGCATTAGACAAAACCTTTTTATAATGGTTTCTAGCAATAGTAAACAGACTTCTGTTTTCTGGAAAATTGTACTGGCAATAGATATGGAAGTAATAGTTACAATAGGAAATTGCAGCAGCACAATGAGAGGAAAACCATAAAAAAGAGTGAGGGTTGACTTGGAATCGTCAAGTGGGGATAAAAGATTCCATGCCAACCTGAATCCGAGAAGTTACATAAGAAGCACATTTCTCAGCAGGATGATGAAAGATTTCTACCCGAGGGCCATCACAAAGAAAATCACGGAAAGAGTCCCAGTCAGCTTTTAGGTAGTTGTAAGAGGTACAATGATAGGGGGATTTTGATAACAAAGAAGAATGAGGTATTTATAGTTACAAAATGATATAATAGTGTTGTAATTATTTTAAAAAAACCTTCAAAAAATTTTATTTCAATGCTACACAAAATCGTAAATAAACATTTTTGCAATCAAAGTTTGTATATGAAGTTAATATTTTACTAAACAGAATAAAATGAAGATTACTGGTTCAAAATTTCACACACACAATTAAAAATGAAGCCTATTGGATTGAAACTTTGTACACATATGATTCAAAACAAAGCCTACTAAACTAAAACTTTGTACACACACTATTTAAAACAAAGCCTACTGGATTGCAAATTTTACACATACATGATTTAAAATAAGGCTTGAATACTTTTATTTTCACCATTTCACACAAAACATGCATTATTAATGATACGGTTATGGTGAATAATATGAAAAATAATATTAATTTAAAATAAAATCAAACTACTTTATGACCAAAACAAAATAATAAAATAAAAAGGGTATAAATTTGTCGCTAATGACATGTAACTTTTTTTGTCCACGTAAACACAATTAAGAATTGATATTTTAGTTAAATAATTCATTAAAAGTGTGGAAAAATTACAAACTAGAAATTAAAATGGTACTAGACTACCATTACTCATAGTGGGAGACTCAAGTTAAACACAATAATGTGTTAATTGCTGGATGGGCTATTAACATAAATATCAAACTACTTTGCTTATTTTCTATATCTCTACAAGTAATTTTAGAGAACAGCAGGGATTTGAATTTTAGCATACTAAATGAAATAAGAACTCCATAATCAAACTGAGATTAAAATATCAAACTTACTATTAAAGAAAGAGTTACTTTCCAAATATGCATGTCATTATTATAAAATAATCTTAAATGTTTTTCACGAAAAATATTGGAGATGGTAGAAATACTGCTTGCTATTATAGGAAAAACTTTTGCTGACTGCTTATCGTGTGAAGAATACAATAACACCTAAAACCAAATATATAACTTTTTAAATAAAATTACACCTGAAATGAACTAAATTTATATTATTTATCGATATCACATTGACATACTGTATTGAAATGAATTTTGACATTATGTTGTCTTGTTTTTTTAATTATCACTAGATATACTGCTTATAAAACATGAAAAAATAAGTAAAAACATACCATCATATTGATGACGTTTGGAATAAAACTTTGAAGCTTTTCTTGAAATTTTGTAAGAAAACTAAAAATTTAAAAAAGCAGTTTTAAAGTTGATCATCTGATATGATGATGGTAACAATGATGATGGAAACAATGATGATGGAAACAATGATGATGGTAACAATGATGATGGAAACAAAGATGATGGGAACAAAGATGATGGGAACAAAGATGATGGAAACAATGATGATGGAAACAATGATAATGATCATAGTTAAATTCATTTTTGCAACCAAAATGAGTGTAAAATTGTTTTTACAACTTGTAATTTAAATCTGTTTTACACTTTTAAATTAGTTTTAAACCTGTTTTAGCCACTCATGAAAGTTCAAATCAGTATCATTCATCAGTATCATTCAGAAGAATGCTTAAGTTTAGCCATTAAACCAGAGTTGTTAGCAAGGCCAAGACTAAGACCAAAAATTACAAGGCCAAGAGTTTTAAGGTCAAGGCTAAGATTAAGAGTTTTAAGGCCAGTTATTAACAAAACTGTAAGTAGCAAGTGCTGTGACAATAAAGCCACATTTTGTAAAAATAGACCAAGGTTATGTGCAGAATTCAACAAAATCAATAAAAAAATATGTATTTTTTTAAAATAAGGCCAAAGCCAAGGACTAACAACTCTGCATTAAACTAACTCAAGAAAATGTCAGAAATTAAATTTTTGTTTAAAAAAAATTTTGGTTTTTAATTGTAATTATTATAAATAAACAAAGGTTTTTTAATTGTAATTATTATAAATTTATTATGATTTTTATACCTACAAATTTTATAAGAACAAAATATAGAGATATAGAGATTTCCAATAAAGTCTAATTGAAGAATTATTACAATTACTAATTGTACAAATGCAAGCTGTAACTATCTATTACTTATATAGTATTAATTTACTATGTTGTTTAGTAAGCGTGTTATGTTGTTAAGTAAGTTTGCTATGTTTAGCAAGCTTGCTATGTTGTTTAGTTAGGTAAGAAATATTTTTTTCAGTTTTGAATAACAATATAAAAAAGGTTTAAATACTGATATTTCTGTATTTTAATAATTGTTTTTTCAATATTATTTTAAACAATATTTTTATTCTTTGTTTACTTTTTGAGAAAATAAAGGATACAAATATTATATATATATATATATATATATATATATATATATATATATATATATATATATATATATATATATATATACATATATATATACACTTACTAAAGCGTATTTTTATAAGCATTTGTTCACTCTTTTTTGCTTACTTTAACCCATTTTTGCTTTCTTTAACCCAAAAAAAACAAAGAATGATGAACGAAACGATCGCTGCCCCATCCCAAACCCTCAGTCGATGTAGCAGCACTCCACAGCGAGTCAGGCTATTTGTCAATCGATGTATGTACTGAAGCCCCAAGCAGCAGGCTATTTCAGTATGATGTCAGATTGCTTACCTAAGTACGCAACACTATTTGTATATATATATATATATATATATATATATATATATACATATATATATATATACATATATATATATATATATATATATATATACATATATATATATATATATATATATATATATATATATATATATATATATATATATATATATATATATATATATATATATGTATATATATATATATATATGTATATATATATATATATATATATATATATATATATATATATATATATATATATATATGTATATATATATATATATGTATATATATATATATATATATATATATATATATATATATGTATATATATATATATATATATATGTATATATATATATATATATATATATATATATATATATATATATATATATATATATATATATATATATATATATATATATATATATAATTATTTTTTAATCCATTTATATAAACATAGAATTAAAAATTAAAAATTTAATTATAATTAACAAAATTATGTTTGGTGCCACTCGTATAGTTACATACTAGTCAATCGAGTGACAGGATAGAGTGAGAGAAAACAATTTCCATAGACAAATATAAATAAGCAAAATAAATGCTAACTTACATAAAAAAATATACCTACACAACTACATACTATATTAAACTCTATATTAATAATTTTTTTATTTAATTAATATTTGTAACATATAATACTAATATACATTACATATATTAGTTAAACAGAATTAAACTAAAAGATATAGAAAAAGCAACAACAACTCAACACACAGAGAAAAATGCAAAAAAATAAATACATTTAACATTACATACATAAATACACAACATAAATAATGTACACAATTAATTAAAAAATATTATTTTTCTTTTCTTTCCATAAAATATTGATGGTAGAAAAAATTTTAGTTTTTTTTCATTTTTTTCTGTTTTCAAAATTATTTTTCTTCAAACTTTGTATTTGTTTGTTTTTTTTGTTTTTTTTTTTTGTTTTTTTTGTTTTGTTTTTAATTGTTTTTACATAGCTTTTTTTAACTTTTATTAATAAAATGATTTTTTGATTTTTTGTTTCTTCATAAAACATTTTTTTTTATAAACTTAAATTTGCAATTTGCACAATGCTTGAAAGTGTCATATCTGAAACATCAAAAAAAAAACAAAAAACAAAAAAAAAACTAAAAGATTCAATTAGAAACTTATTTAAGGATCTGTTTTAATATGTAAACCATGTTTATATTCTGTTTTTTAAATTTATAAAACCTTTTTTAAACAAAGTTGTACATTTTTTTGTGGGAGATTCTGTTTAAACATCTGGGCATTCATCCCTCTTTTCATTTATATATATAATATTTATTGTTAAATTTTTTTTAATAATTTGGGATTACTTTACTGTTTTTTGCTTATTTTACAGTAAACCTGTTTTAGGCCAACTAAGATTTGATAGCTTATTGTCATGCTTGATGGTTAAACTTTTAAACACTTATACATGAATGTTTATTCTAGCTAATTCCTACGTTAATGTTTATTCTAGCTAATTCCTACGTTATCCAGGTTATTTTTACAAAAAGACTGTTTTTAATGCATTTATATTTTTAAACTTATCACTTTTAAATGCAAAATATATTTTTTAAATTATTGAAATTTTAACCTTTTATGCAAGTGAAAATAAAAAAATTATTTATGTACCTACGGTTATGCTATCAAATATGTTTTCAAAAATATTATGCTGTACAACAAATCTTTTTAGTTTTGGTTTTTAGTTGACGTTTTGACTTATTTAACCGTTGTTTCAGTAAACATTAGATTTAAATGAAATATTTTTTGTTTTTATAATGGTCTAACAATGTTTATATTAGATAATAAATATCTGAAATATGTTTTTTCAACATTTTTTAATAGTGTAATAAATATATTAATAATTTATATTTTATATTAATAATTATAAATTATTAAAATTCAGCCAAGTTTATCAAGTTTATCAACCAAGTTTATAACAATTTATCAAAAGTTTATCAACCAAGTTAACTTAATTACAATTAAAGGAAAAACTTATGATAATTGTAATAAAAATACACCCACCTTGAGGATGGGAATTTAGCACTTTTTTTTTTCTTATCTTATTTGACATGTTATGATAAAAAAAACTAAACAATAGATTCACTTCAAGCTTCAGCTTTAATTAATATTAAATATTTTTTTGGTAAAATGTCTTAATGGTTAATTAACAATTATATACTTAATTAAAAAATTATGTTAACTAAGTAACAATTTAAACAACATAGTTTGTCTCATGATTATTTTGTATTGATATAGTTCATGTATGTATGAAATGAACCCGTAAAGTTGCTTTACCAAACAACTTTTAACATACTGTTGATGATAATGATGATGATGATGATGATGATGATGATGATGATGATGATGATGATGATGATGATGATAATGATAAAGATGTTGATGGTGACTAAAGTATGATCAAGATAAAAAAACTTTTAAGCTAAAAAAAAGAAAATAAAGTTTGAAAATTTTAAAATATAGATTAGTTCTAAATTACCTAGCTTCTAGTGCAAAGTTATTCAATGAACCTGTTGCCATGATTGCCACATCTCCTCCATCATTTATTATTCGAAGCAAGTTATCAAACATGCTGTAAAAATGAAGACTTAATTTTTTAAGCTTAAAACAAAAAAAAATTTAAACTAACTTTTATAAAATAAAAAGTATAAAATATTTTTCTGCGAGAGAAGCCATTTTAGTATAAAAAATACATAAAAGATTGAGTTTGGAGGAGGTGAGTTCATTTGGAGGAGGTGAATTCATTTGGAGGAGGTGAGTTCATTTGGAGGAGGTAAGTTCATTTGGAGGAGGGGAGTTCATTAAACAAATCTACTTCCTGTATGGAGATTTTTGGTTAATTATAAGCATATTTAATAAAATACATTTTTTCTAAAAAAACAAAAATTTTAAAAATTCCCAGCAACAAAAATGTTCACTTAAAAAATATAATTTCACCGATTTTACTTGTACAAAATATTATTACAAACATTAAATACAAATTATTTTAAACATTTATTTATATCTAAATTAGTAACTTGTAATCATTTAAGTTTATATTTTTAGTTCGAATTGGAATTATATTCTATAATTTATAATCTGTAGAAGAAACTGGTCCCTATAAATATACATTAAGAAAACAACCTACATAATTAACAATATAATATACGTAATAGTTTAAATGCATATAATTCAAATATATACCTTTGAAATGAATTTAACTTTATTATTCTAATTCTAGTCTTTGGAAATTGAGATAAGCGATAGATAAACTGCACAGATTCAAACACAGACCTTAAAGTAGATTCTGTTTGTAAAAAAAAGCTTACTGTATTTAATATAACCTCTTGTTGACATATTACTTCACTGTTGCATGCTGAAAAAAAATATATATATAAATCAACATTTATATATTTTCTTATATTAAGTAAAAAATACACATGCTACAAAAATACAAGTGCACATAACCATTTTAAAACAAAAAAATGTTAACAAGTAATCAATAAACAAGTAAAATAAATAAATAAATGTAAAACAAGCAATACCATTATCAAGAGAAGTAGAAGAAAAAAGTTCTACAAGCAGTACAGCTATTTCAACTTCATCTTTTGATAAAGAATTACACGAAGTAAGAATTCTAAATATATATATATATATATATATATATATATATATATATATATATATATATATATATATATATATATATATACAGTGTTGGCGAAAAGTATTGCAACTTTTAAAAAAAAACACACATTAAACAAATACACAAGAGTATTATTAAAAGAAGTGTTCATATATAAATATCTAGTACTTAAAAAGCTGTCCATGGTTTTTCAACACATATTTGATACGGCTTGGCATCAACTGAACCAGTTTTTGACTTAGATCTGGGGTGATTTCGGTGCACCACACCTTCCCAATGTTGTAAATGAGTTCTTCAATGCTTTTACTGTAATATTTTCTTACTTTTCTTTTCATCACTGTCCAGAGATTTTCAATGGGATTCAAATCTGGACTGTTGCCTGGCCAGTCCAGAACTTGAATCCCATTGTCAGTTAGCCACTTTTTTACAACTAGACTGGTATGGCATGGTGCCGAATCTTGTTGAAACAGTTCACAACAATGCAAGCGCATGGCTAGGGGTAGTTTTGAATTTAAAATCTTTAGGTATTCAACGGAGTTTACCATCTGTTTCGCTGGTATAAAGTATAGAGACCCTCGCCCCATTGCTGAAAAACATCCCCAAACCATAATTTGGGGTGAATGTTTAACTGTCGGCAAGGTGTAACGAATATCATCTCGAGATCCAATTGGTCTACGTACATACTGCGTAACAGATCCAAACTGCAGAAATGTAGACTCGTCGGAAAATAACACCTTGGACCATCTTTCTGCATTCTAGTCCTTATAATTATTACAAAACTGAACTCTTTTCTGTCGCTACTGCTTAGATAGCAGAGGTTTGCAGGATTGACGTCAAGCTCTTAAACCAAACGAACACAGTCGGTCACATATTGTTCATGTACTCGCACCGCAACCACTGTCTAGTTTTATTTGAAGACTTGAATAAGTCAGATTTCTGACTGCAGAGCGTCGGAGTAGAGAGTCATCACGTGTTGTTCTTAGTGTGGGTCGTTCAGAACGTTTCAGTGGTGATGCTGACCTGGAAGCTTTGTATTTCTTAATTATTTGACTAACTGAAGACTTAATTAAACACAATTTCTTAGAAATATCTCCCTGCTTCATACCATCCTTCGAATATTGAATAATAATTGCACATTTTCTTGGTCTTCTTTTGCTTCTTTGCCAGACCCATTAAGATTAAACTATACCTCTCAAAAAGCGAAAAAAATGAAAATTTTCTATGCTATTCCCAAGTATGGTTTTATATATATATATATATATATATATATATATATATATATATATATATATATATATATATATATATATATATATATATTAGCCCTTCAAATTAAGGTAGGCATTGCCAACTGCATTGCTAAGTGCTTAACGTCAGCAAAATCAATAAATAAAATGTGAACATCAATAAGTAAAATAACTATTGTCAAATGTCAATTATTTAAAACTTAAAAACAAAAATATTATCTGTTCTTTGTCAATGTATCATTTCAATACTTAATAAGACTGATTTTCAGTTAAACCATTTACAGTTTTTATTTTTTTATGTATTTATCCAATTCATAAATATCTCTTGAAGACTGAATCAAAGGTCCACCTCTATATTGGTTTTTTAAAAAATGTCTGAAACTTTTCTTTGCCTTCTTCCATAAGGAAATTAAAGAAAGATGCTTTCCTTTTTGTCACCAGATACTCCAAATTCAATTGTTTACATTCACTTCTTTTTTTTTTTACCATCACCATTCTGTGTTTTCTCTTGCTGCTATTTTACTTCTACAAAAGATCTCTTTGTATTTGTATATAAATCTTTGTATATAAATTTCAGATCTTCAGTCTGTATTTCTGTTATCAGAGCGGTAGTTGAAACATCAAACAAATCTCAAAGGTCACCTTAAAAAAGATCTTCTTTCATCCTGTTAAGTTGAGTGATATTTTTAATTCTTTATTTTTATCCCATAAGTACTTAAAGAGCATTTACAACTATTTATTATCAAATGATTGCCTATAGTTTGCTTATCTTTTATTTCACTTACCCTGTGTTGAATTAATATGTATGTATGTATGTATGTATATATATATATATATATATATATATATATATATATATATATATATATATATATATATATATATAAATATATATATAAATATATATATATATATATATATATATATATATATTTATTAATTTATTTATTCGTATACATATGAACACACACCAATATTTGAATATATATATATATATATATATATATATATATATATATATATATATATATATATATATATATATATATATATATATATATATATATATATATATACATATATATATATATATATATATATATATATATATACATATATATATATATATATATATATATATATATATATATATATATATATATATATATATATATATATATATATATATATATATATATATATATATATATATATATATATATATATAAAAGAAAGAGGATGATAGATGCATTAACAGATTTACTTAAAAAAGGTACTTTCTTAAGGTTGCATTCTCATTAATGATGTTAAAACCATTTCTTATGCGAAACAATGTGCGCAACTCATCTAAATAAAAAATAAAGAAAAGTTAAAATAAAATAAAAAGAAAAAATGTTTTGCTCCAAAATCCCTACCTCTCTTAATTGTATCTTTTCAAATCCTAACCACTCACTAAACATAGCACATTCTTGTTAAGCAAGTGTATATACTTAGTACATACTTGGTAAACAAGTACATACTTGTTTTAACTGCATCTTTTAATTCACATATTACACTAATGATTTGCTGGAGATCAGATTGACATCCTTTGCGTAATCTGTTTATGTTATTATGAATTTTTTTAGCATTGTCATCTTCATCATTCGAATACAAACTTAAAGTCTAAAAAAAAATAGAAAAATTGTAACTTATTTATATTATAAAATTATATATTTTATTTATATTATAAATACAAAAAAAAAAATCATTATGGTTATAACAAACTTTTAAATTTATATATATTTATAAGTTTGTTATTATCATAATGAATTTTTAATTAAAACATTCAACAACTTTATTTTTACATAGCTTTATGGTAATTGTAAAAAAAAAAAAATGATCTTCAAGAAAAACTAACAACTAGTAACAAAGCAACAAACTAACAAAAATTAAGTTCATGATAATTATTGTAATTATCATTACTATTATTGTTACAACTACTAATAATAACACTAATTACTTTTACTACTAACAATAACACACTAATAACTTTTTTAGTATTTGTGAGCCTAATATCAGTTTACAGGTAAATGGTCAAATAAATTTTCAAAAACTATCAATAATTGACCCATTTTTATTTTGCACAGATTGCATTCATTGGTATAACATTTGTTTCCTCAAAAAAAGGAACTACAATAAAACATTTAAAAAAGTATAAGTATATTAAAAAAAAAAAAAAAAAATTAAGATTATTTTGCTGGACTGATGTATAATTAATATTGTTAATCAATTCTTTTCTGGTCTTTAAAACAAACTACATTCAATCTTCTTTTAGACTTTGCAAACTGATGTAATTAACATAACTAACATAATTAACATAATTGACTGATGTAAACCTCTGGATTGATTTTTTTTAAACAATACTTGATTTTGCCAATTAATTTTTGAACATTTTTGGCTTCCCACTTTTTCTTGTATTATCATAAAGTAGCATCATTTTTACAAATACTATAATGGTCCCTGCTCAAATGAGCTATTAACTCTAGTTCCATTAACTATAACTCATTTTTGCTGGACTCATCATTCTCTTCATGCTCAAAAAACTTTTATTTCTCTAGTGTTTTTTTTTTTGCACATCCTGCAGTGGAACTCTCTACCATGTTTTTCTGATTCAAATACAACTATTCTTCTGTTTTCTTCATCTTTAATCGTATTATTTGTTTTCTAGTAACTCCCAACTTAATAGTGGCTTCTAGTAACTCCCAACTTTATAGTGGTTGCATGCAGCCTTATTTTGAATTTTTTTTATTAAAAAATTTAAAATAAAATTTTGAATTTTTTTTATTAAAAAATTTAAAATAAAATTTTGAATTTTTTTTATTAAAAAAATTTTGTTTAAAATTTTTTTTCAAATTAAAATATAAAGTTGAGAATTGTAATTTGTAACTGTTTATCAAAACAACAATAAAACAGTTTAAAAAAGATAAATATTGTACCCTAATAATAAGAATATCAAAAACTTATTATATATAAATACCTTTTCTTCATCTACATTTAATTGTTGTATGGCTCTTGTTTCATCAATATAATCTAGAAAAAAAATACAATAAAGATAAAAATTTTAAACATTTTTGTGAAGCAAAATCAACAAATAAAGTAAATCATAAATGTAACAAAAAAAAATAATACATAAATACACAGAAACAAAACTAATCTAAACTAGATATATAATGAGCAGGTTGTTAATATATTTGAATATCATAGAATTGTTTCCATCTTACTATAATCAAGGGGGCTAAGGGGCAAAGTTAATCTTAATACATATTTATTAAATGTTATTTATTATTATTTTATTCATTTATTATTTATCTATTATTTTTAATATATTAGAAGTTCATTGGTCATTTATTAAATGTATATTATTTTTAATATATTAGAAGTTCGTTGCTCATTTATTAAATGTATATTATTTTTAATATATTAGAGGTTTGTTGGTCATCTAGAAGAATGCAACAAAAACATAAAATGTTAATGTTTTTTAAATAATTATTAAAAAAATGTGATACTAATACCTATACTATTGTTCATTTATTTCACAATGATATATTGAAACTTACAATAATAAATTATAAACTTACATAAATAAGATTAGGTGTCACTCGTATTGTTAAAAACTAGTCAATATGTGATACCAAAAAAAAAAAAAAAGTAAATAAGACATAGAATGAAATTAAAATAAAAAATAAACAAAGAAAACAAACATAAAAACATAGAACGGAAAAAATAAATAAAATAAAGCACTAATAAATAATGATAATATTAATAATTGCAGTAATAATAAAAATAATCTGATAATATTAATACTGTAATTTAGTTAATAGTAGTAGTCGACTTATGTGGTTCTATATACCACACGGTCTTACAAGTAAGGTCTGCAAGCAAATTAGAGCTGATAAATTTTTAGTTAAAAGAAGAATTAATGCTGTTTATTGTTTAAAGGCTAAAATGAAAATTTAAACAATCATTTGTTTGTTGTTGGTTGTTTTTATAGCCTTTTTTCTTTTTTTCAGATGAAGTTGGAACTAAAAGTGTTTCAGTTTTGTCAGTCTTTTTAGAACATTTTAGGCAAGTATAGTTTTTAGAGAAATTAGAAGGAGCTGAAGGCCTTTTTAGTAAGTTCAATTCATTTTATTATTTATAAATAAAGATTATTGTTTGTAGAAGGATTAATGAGAATAAAATTTTATTCATCTATCATTGAAACTATACTTCTCCATAAAAAAGTCGGCCTTCACTAATTTTACGGAAAATAAGCTGTTGCAGCCTGTTTAAGAAGGCCTTGATCTGAATATATATTTATTAGAAATTTTTAATTTTGTTCTTAAAAGGTTTCATCTTTTTCATTACCTTAGATAAATATATAATGACTAACATAACTTCATTTTTATTAACAATATTGTGCATTGTAGTCTATATTCTTTGTTACATTAAAAATAATTGATACTAAGAAATGTTGTTTTATATTGTTACTAAGAAATTATGGTCCTTTAGTAAGACAAAACTTCTGTTCAATAATTTATGGCAAGAAACTATTTCAGTAATATACGGCTAATGCATATGTTAAAATTAAATAGCAGTGTCTTGCTTTCATAGAAATAACCGAAGCAAACTGAGAAGCATGCAATATGATATTTTTGTTTTGATATCTTGCTATAATTAATCTTAATAAAATATTACTATAAAAAAAATCTTGCTATAACCAATATAAAAATATAAATACTAGAATTTGTTAAGCCATAAATGGCTACATATCTTTTTTTTTTTCAAAGTTACCAATTATAATTTCTTGGACCCATCAGATAAAGCTAAAATAAATAAAAATTTAAATTGAAAAATTTAAAACTTTAACTGAAATTCAACCTTAAATTAATTACTTTAATTGAAATTTAACCTTACGTACATCTAATTTTTATTATACTCAACTTTTTGTTTCTCATTACTTTCAGATATTCTACGATATCACAATTGATAAATTAAAGATAATTATAATAACTTTTTTTGACTGTAATTAATTAACAGATTTGTTATATATTTTAGTTCTACTATTAGTCACTACATTTTTTTGCGAATCAAATTTTATCAAATTTTCATATAACTGATTATAATTATTCTAAAATGAAATGATTTTTTTTTTTTGAAGTTTAAACTAAGTATTTAAGTATTTTTTTTTTTAGTTGTTATTACTTTATTAGTTTGCTTAATGTTGAAACATGGTTTTAATTTACTAAATTTATATGATATGAAAGTTACTGTGTTAATCATTATTCACAGTTATGAAGAAATTGGAATTCTAAACTATTGAGGTAAAAATAACTTTGTTTAGTGGTAACATTAAAAAGCCTTTTTTTAATGGTTAATTGTGCAACAGCTATTTTGTGCCAATATATATATTTTTGTCATTATTATTAAAAACAATAACTTAAGTTATGAATATAATAATTTATTATAACTTTTATTTTACCCTTGAAACATAATCTGTCTCCTCTCTGTTTAATGAAAGTTTATTAATAAAGGAGAGCATTATTGGAACACTATGTTATTACGAAGTTCTTATGTAAGTTAAGGTACATTAACTGATAATGACCATGTTTAAGAAATGTTTTACGATTCATTAATTCATGAACACATTAATAAATAAGTAAAATAATGCTCCCTTTTATTAATAAATTTACTTATTCTAAAACACAATATAAAATATGTAAAATTATGCTATTGTAGTTCAAAATAATTTTTTTATTCTTTTTTTTTTTAGGTATTAATAAATTGCTCTCTGGTGCTTGCTGTTATTTAAAAGAACCTAATATCTTGAGTTACGTGGTCTTTACTAAATGCCAAGACCAATAAAAGCGAGCAAAAGCAAAAAGATTTTATTATATAGATAAGGCTGCAATTATCCCATATTTTTACGAAGGAGAGTCCAACGCTAAATTAATTAAAACTTTTATAGCGTTCCTCAGCGGAAAAACCGGGATATTGGCAGCCCTATATATAGATGAATTTGTATTTTATATTTTTTAGATAATATATCAAGTTAAATTGTTATTTATTTATTACTAACCCGTATTACGGGTTGCTTACTGCTAGTAATAATATGAATAAAAAGCATTGCAAATAATAACTATAATTTAATAGCTTTAATAAAAATTATAAATAATGATAAAAACAACGGTAAAGATAATTATAAAGTTTATAACTATAAAAATAACAATAATATGAATAAAAAACATTATAAATATTAACTATAAAACTATTACTAAGATGGAATCACTATCATTATAAATAATATTAATAAGGCATTTAAAAGCTTTAAAAAAAAAGGATATATTAATGCTTATAATATTAATAGTAAAAAAGTTAAAAAAAATAACACAAAATAAAAGTAATAATAGTTTTATTAATAATATTTTTACTAATAAATATATAATAATTTTAATAATAATTTTATTAATATAATAAAGCAATAATGATAAAAAACAAAATAAATATTTATTAGATATATACTCAAATAAAATTTTTTAATTTAGTTTCCATTGAGAAGAAAGATGTTGGTAATAAGAGGGCATTTAGTTGAAATCTTTTTTTTTTAAAAAGAAAGGGTGAAAAATAATTGGAGGTCTGAACATTTTTAAAAAGTTGCATGAATGATTTATTAATGCATAGAAGTTTTGTCAGCAAAATGATAAACAATCAAATTATTTATAGAGTGAGGCAGGTCATTAACATATACTAAAAACAGTAAAGGCCCTAGAACAAAACCCTGTGGGACACTATCCTTAACAACTTTATTTGTGGATTAAAACCCATTAAAATGAGTATGATTTTAAATATACCATGAAAACCAATCATCAGCAATACCCCACTAATAATAATATACATTTTTAATTAGAACCTTATAGTCTTTGTGAATCTTTATAAAACTTTTGATACAACTGTATTTAAAGCTTTTTGGAGATCAAAAAAGACTTCACAAGCTAAAGAACCACTATCAATGAGAAGTATAATGTTTTAAATGAAATCCAAACTGGCGGAGAACACTTAGAACTATCAAGTAAGAACACTTAGAACTATCGAGTGGTAGATATGAGAGAGCATTATTGATATGTTTATCAATACATAATCGATATGATTTTAATTTTTACAGCTTTTTTGTTTTTAAAATACTAAACTTTTACATACAGCTGTAAGCTGCCAGTCATGTACTATTTATGTACTTAATTTTTCGCCAGTCATGTACTATTTATCTGCTTTAATAATTTTATTTGATTGTGGTGCTGTCAGTCATCTTTTTAAATTTAATGCTCGAAATTCATACAACTTTTTTACATATTATATTTGCCAGCACCAAAAGTTTTTCTTGTTTTTATTATTTAGCATTAGATTATCTATTTAAAAACTTTTACTATTACTGATTACTGTTGCAAACCAAAGTCACTTATAATTCAATTATCTAAATATTTATGAAATTTTCAATTTCATAAATATTTATATAACTGAATTATAAGTGACTTTTGTTTACTATTTGTTCATTTACTGTTATATTATTTTATCTTTTTGATTTTATATTTTATAAACAGTTTTACATTTAAACAATGAAAATTTTTCACCATTGCAAATTTTTCAACAAAAAAATAAATAAATATATAATTATAGAGCCATCCTATGCAGCTATTGCTACTTTTGGATTTATGCAAAATGTATTCTAACTGACAAACACTTACAATCTGTTTTCAAATGACACTTCTGAATAGTTTTGCCTTAACTGATTATCAAACAATGATCTGGAAATCAAATTTTTCCAGCAAGAACTTTCTTTATAAAATAAAATCTCATGAACCCTCTGATTACCTCAAAAACTTATTTAAAAACATGAACAATCTTTTTAATTCAACAATTAAATGCAAACACCTTGACATTAATGAAATAAATGAACTTATTAATCCTTTTTTGATAAAGAAATTTGTCTTTATCTTAATATTTCTTCTCTCCCATTTCACATCATTAATCTCTCCAGTCTAATTAGTACCATTAAC